GGGGAGGTCAGTTGACCCCACCAGCTGTAGGAAGCCCTGCTTCCTGGTATGACTTGGAACTCTAGAGCCAAATAACTCTGAACTCCTCCAAGCCCCAGGCAATCTGGCCTGAACCAGCCAGATTCCAGAAGCCCACACACTTCTTTCTCCTGCTTCCACCTCTGTCTGGGATGCAGGTTTTACGCACGCATTGAGGTAAGAGGGGACAGGGAGCCACGTGGGCAGCTCTAGGCTCTGAACATGATGTTCATCTCTGAAGCTGGTGGTCAGGGGGACGGCTCCCCTAGGGGCAGGGAACGTTTTGCCAGGCTCGGATTAACTTCTGCATTGCTAAGCCCCACCAAGTGCCACATTAACTCACAGAGTCGTCCTGGAGTGGGGGTGGAGGGGAGGGGCAGGGAGAATGGAGGGTGCTGGGCACTAATTGAGAAACACACCTTGGCTAGGGACCGTGCCAAAGCCACCCGGCAGGTCACAGCCCACAGCACGTGCATCCTCAACCAGCAGCATCTTGCTACTATCATCACACACCCCCATGGCTGCCCTGGTCCTGGCCGTGGGAACTCTGCCCCTTAACAGCTCCTCCCAGTGACCTTCACGTGTGGCAGGCTTCTCAGGGTGGCTGCGGGAGCCAGGAGTGGGAATGGGCGAGGACAGGCCCCAGCGCGGCTGAGTGAGAAGACAACAGACACGCAGTCCAGTGCGGCTGAGCCAGAAGCGCGACAGGCAAGGGATGGAGGAGGAAGGTCAGCGTCTCATCAGAAGCTCAGGGCAGCTCCTGCCATCCTCCACTTGTTCTCTGCAGGGCAGCTTTCAAGTTCAAAGTCCCCCCCAAGAGGAAAGTCACATGACTTGAGTTTATATAATCTCCCTGTCACTGAACAGCTGGAACCCAAGGCTTCAGAAGATGAGTCAGCAGCCCTGGTGACAAACAGGACCCAGGGACTCAAGTTTGATTGCTTCTAGAAACAGGTCCCCAAGCAGAGGGCAAGGGTGTGAGAGAGGCAGTGTGTGGGAGAAGAGGCGGGGCCAGGCATGGAGCCTCGGAGCCTCGGTGACTAGCTAGCTCTGTGAGAGGAGCAGGTGCCTGCCCATCCTGCTATCGGTGCTTGGGAGGGGCCTGGGAGAGAAGGGGAAGGCCTGGGCGGGGCCAGGGCAGAGTGCAGGGCTCAGGCCAGCCGGCAGCGTGCCAGGGCTGGCCAGGGAGCAGCTGGAGGGGTGGAGCGGAGGAGGATTAGGAAGGATTGTAGGGGTTAAAGCAGAACCCTGGCAGGGCTCAGTGGGAACAGCTTGTCCTTCCATAGGCCCCGGGTACGGGAGAGGTGGGGCGGGGAGGAGGGGCGCGGCTGGTTGGTACTCTGGCTTCTGGCTGTCGACAGGGCCAAGCCACCTGGGCTGGCTTGGAATCCCCACCAGGGGAGGCAGTGAAGGCATTTCCCCCTGCTGCACCCCCACCGACTGGCATCCGATCGGCATTTTGTTGGTGTGAAAGAGGGGTGTTCCAAATTCATCCCCCACCTCCAATTAGTTCTTTTCTTGTGCTCACTGTGATATTCCAAGTTCATGTGATCTGGTGGAACCCTTCTGCCCTGGTCAGGGCCTGCATCTTGTGTGTGTGTGTGTGTGTGTGTGTGAGTCCTGGGACTTGAACTCAGGGCCTGAGCACTGTCCCTGAGCTTCTTTTGAGCCACAGTACCACTTCTGGCTTTTTCTGTGTATGTGGTACTGAGGAATGGAACCCAGGGCTTCATGCATGCTAGGCAAGCACTCTACCACTAAGCCACCTTCCCAGCCCTGTGTCTTTCTTTATGAAAGTCAACTGCAAGTCAGTCACCCTGAGAGCCCTGGGCTACAGGACACACATTCTCCTGTCCCTCCCGCAGGATAGGCCCTCCCCATTCAATGCCCTTTCTGTACCCTTTTAGGATAGGCCCTCCCCATTCAATGCCCTTTCTGTACCCTTTTAAGTTTATTTTTGCACTGAACCCAGAACCTCACATGAGTGCTCTGTCTCTGAGCTACATCCCCATCGTTTTCCTTTTAAGTTGAAACAAACTCTTCTGCAGTGTCTTTTACTGGTTAACATTTCCACATTCATTGTTTGCTTTAGGTCTAATGGCATGCCATGAGGTGGCAGGGCAGGTGTGACAGTACCCTTTTATAGATGAAGAAACAAAGTTCAGCTGACAGGTGTCCAAGGTGAATGAGGCAAACCATCTCTCCCAGAGGTCCAGGCAGCCTGCCGCAGCCTCAGGTGACCTCTGCCTTTCTGACCACTGCAGGCACTTATTAACACCCATAGCCACCTCCTACTGGAATTATTTAAGAGCACATTTCCCCAAGTGAACCGTAAAGGCACGAGGGCAGGGATCGTGACTCCTACGTCTCCCGTAGCATTGCAAGGGCGCAAGGAGCAGCAGCAAGCACATGTCAGGCTCTTTCCCAACCATCTATGAAGTTGGAACTGTGATCATCTTCAAGTTACAGAAGAGAAAACAGATTTGGAAGTTAAACAATGCCTCAAGAAAGCTGGGATTTCACTTGTAAGTGAGTGAATGGGAATACAAGGCCCTCAAATGGAGATCTGAATGGAAACTGGGCCTGGTTTAAAAAAGAAGTGGTAGGTAATGCTGGGTGCCCGTGGTTCATACCTGTAACCCTAGCTATTCAGGCTGAGATCTGAGGATCATGGTTCAAAGCCAGCCCAGGCAGAGAAGTCCCTGTGAGACTCTTATCTCCAATATACCACTCAAAAACCAGAAGTGGCACTGTGGCTTAAGGTGGTAAAGTGCTACCCTTGAGCAAAATTGTTCAGGGACAGTGCCCAGTCCCTGAGTTCAAGCCCCATGACCAACATGGGTTGCTCTCCACAGTCCGCTTCTAGAAGTGAGCACAGGAGTAGCAAAGTCAAGAAAAGGTCTTAGGCCACTGCCGTAGGACTGAGCTCAGGCACTGAAGGAATCTGGACAGTCTCACCTGCTTCTGGGCCGGAGGGAGGGGTGTTTGGGTGGCTGTGTTTGCCCCAGAACGATGTGTCACCCTTCTGAGGCCTTGTCTCTAAGTTCCCCTCTCCTTGGCCCTGGGGTGGAGGTGGGGCTAGGTGGCCCCCCCCCCAAGAGGTGGAGGGCGGAAGACCCCCAGGGAGATTTGGGGTGTGGATGGGAAGAATAAGACTCATTCCCAGGGGAGTCTTGCCGTAGGAGATGAAGGGTGGGTGGGGATGCGGTCAGTCTCAGCGTGCTGAGCTATCTCCCAAAGAACTGTGGTAAGAACAGATTTTGAGACCCCTCCCCCTCCTGATTGGATTTGGCTCAGTGGATCCCAGGGAACTAAGCCCAACAGGTAATTCTGAGGTAGGTGGTCTGCAGACCCCACTCAGAGAAGCAGTGTTCACCAGAGAGAACCCTTCTCTTCTGAGACGGGGAAAGGAGTCCCCCCATTGGGAGCTGCTTTTTTTTCCCCCCTGGTGCCAGCACTGGGGCTTGAACTCAAGGCCTCTGCATTGCCCCCTTAGCTTTTTCTGCTCAAGGCTGGCGCTCTACCACTTGAGCCACAGCGCCACTCTTTGGGAGCTGCTTTTGATCACTCCCTGGATGAAGACTACCCAGCATGTCTGAGTGACTCCTGTTCCACTCAGGCACAGCCTGCGGCGCTCCCGCAACCTTCCCTCCCAGGCCGGCTGTGTGGCCCCTTCTCCCCTTCTACTAGCTCGCCAGGCTAGCTAGCTGTGCCTTGTGTCATCTGAATGTCCCCCATAGCATAGCACTTCCTAGTTGTCCTCCCCAAGTAATGTTAGCAAAGCTGTCCTTCCAAGCCCTTAGTTATGATATATGCACTGTACAGGCTGCAGTCCAAAACCCTGCCCAAGTCCACAACCCCTCCCCCCCTCTGTCTGGACAAGCCCTTTTGAGCAAAATTGCTTGCTATGGCCCAGCTCCCCTTGGTCACAGAAGGTCTATGTTCTACAGTGTGTGTGTATGGAGGGGAAGGGGGGGGGTTTAAGAAAATAGATAACACACAGCACCCAACCCCCCTGGTCCACATGCTTAAATGTCCACCTGTCCATCCGCCTGACCATCCGCCCATCCATCCACCTGTGTCCATCTAGGCAATCAGCAGGTCAGCTGAGCTAGGCACTGCCAGGGCACGTGGTGAGGGATCTAGAGATAAGATCTTTCTCAACCTCTGGGAGCTTGCCACCTAATGGGCACATTAATAACTACAAAAAAAAAGGCAGAAGATATGGTGTGTTGGTGGCTCACACCTGGAATCCTAGCTACTCAGGAGGCTGAGACCTGAGGATCATGGTTTGAAGCTAGCCCAGGCAGGAAAGTCTGTGAGACTCTTATCTCCAATGAACCACCAGAAAACCAGAAGTGGCACTGTGGCTCAAAGTAGAGAACTAGCCTTGAGTGAGAAAGCTCAGGGGCAGTACCCAGGCCCAGGCCCTGAATTCAAGCCCTACAACCAACCAAAAAAAAAAAAAATTCAGAAGGCAATTGGTGCCCCAGAGAGGCATGTACAGAGATTAGATCCTTGGTCAGTATCCTGCACAGTTTCTTTCCTATACCAGCCCAGACAAGGCTGGGCGAATGGGAAGCCCTAAAGACAGGTAAATCTTGATGTCCAGATCCCTTGGCCTGAGCTTGACAGTGTCAGAGGCACATCTGCTTCCCCTGATGTCTTCTGCCCAGGTGGGAAGCCTGGACAGAGGGAAAGACAGCCAGAGCTGGGAGGCCCCTCTGCCCACAGGGAGCACTGGTGGTCTGGAGCCTGCAGAAACCCTGGCGTTTTGGGTGGCACAGTAAGAATAACAGCATATGTGGCGGTAGTCAAGCCTTCCACAGACTCTGCACCCCGGAATTCCCAGATCTGGGGGAGCCATGGGACCCCTCCCCTTGGGTAGCAGCCATGCTCAGTCCTGACCCCAACCTGGCTCTTCTACATAGATGGCTGTCTCCCTGGCCCATCACCACATACATCCCCAAGGATAAACTCACCATGGTGTCTCGCCCTGGAGAGCAGGAGCGGCTGGGCCCAGGCGTCTGGCTCTTGCTCTTCTCCCACAGTGTGTAGCGGCCACTGGGTCGGTAGGTGGGACTGAGGACTTCAGGGACTCGTGAGGGAGAGGCCTGTGTGAGCACCTGTGGCGAGCTGCTCTTGTGACCGTAGTTCTCCAAGTAATCCACCAGGTACTCCGAGCGGCTGGCCGCCTGGTAGAGGCCCTGCAGCGCACAGAGCTCCTTGCGCGTGCGGGCGAGCATGGGGCTGCGACCCAGGTTTGCAGGGTCTATCCGGTAGCCATCAGAAGTCCGGTAGCTATCTGAGGTCCGAAGGCTGGAGAAATCCCGGGCCAGGTCGGATTGGCTGTTGGATTTCTTCTGGTTCAGAGTCACTCCTTGGTCACGGGCATTCATGGGCAGGTAGCTAAAGGAGTTGCTGGTCACTCCATAAGGGAATCCGCTGCCCCCACTGAGTCCACTGCCTGAAGGCCGCTCAGAGCCCCGGGTCTGGCTCTCTGCCCGCTTACTGCTTCCAATGATGTCAGGTCTCAGCAAGGGGCGGCCTCGATCATAGTCCAGGATGGAGGAGGGGCCATAGGTGCGTGGCCGGGGAAGGAAGCTGCTGGGGGTACCCTGCTTGAAACCAAGTTTCTCCTTCTCCAGGAAGGAGGTGGCCAGGTTGGCCCCGTAGGAGGAGGGGGAGTAGGTACCATAGCCCGATTTGGCAAAAGGGGCATCTGTGTAGCGGGTTGAATCTGTGTAGCGCTTCAGGGTGGAGGAGAGCTGGGACATCCTTCAGGGCGGTACTCAGTGGGAACTGGGAGCCTCATGGGCTGAAAGGCAAGAAGAGCAGTTGTCAAAGGGCCCTGCTGGGTGGGGGTCCCCACTGGGCTGCGTAGGTAGGGCTCAACAGGGACCCGACCAGCCCGTGTCTTCAAAGGCTGCCAAGAAACGCATGGATGGATGTGGGTATGTGCGCGGGCTTTCGTGCATTAGTGTAATAACAGCAGCTGCCTGTCCTGGGCACAAGTCTTCCTCTCAAAGACCCAAATTTACAAGCAGGGGCTGCCCAACCCTACTAGCTTCTCACTCTTTCTTTTGGCCAACTGTCATTGGTTCCTATCCTTAACTTCTGCAGAAACTCTGAAGTTGGGGTCTCACCATTCTTGCCCTTTGGCCCGAGGGTGCTGGGTATTTCTTATGCTATTCAGCTTCCTGTCTTGATTTATATATATGTGGGATTTGAACTCAGCCTCGTTTGCCAGGCAGGTGCTCTCCTCCTCCCTGCCACCTTCCCGCCCTCTGACTTGTGTGAAGAGCATCACAGTCTCCTAGAATGTCCTAAGATCATGGAGTCAGATCCCTCATGAAGAAAAGAAAGCTCAGAGGGGAAGTGACAGGGGCTGGACCTGTGTCCAGTCTCCCAGCTCTGGACACGATGCTTCAGGCCCCTGTTAGAACTTATCCTCTTCGGTGAACTTAGCCTCCTGTTTTAAGTGGCGCTAGGGCTGGTGGCTCCCCAGGAGAGGTCCCCTCCCAATAGAGATGCCAAATTACTGCCTGGTGATACTTAGCTTGTGCAAAGCGTGCCCCCTAGAGGTCAAAATCCCACACTGCAGTTGGCACTGCCAGCCCTTCTCCCCACAAGTCCGTTGTAGTTGGGGAGGGTCTGGTGAAGAAATGCAGAAATCCCTGAATGTGGAGCTTGGAGAGCCCTAAAGGACCGTGCTGTACTGATGGGAAAAATGACTCGGGTTTGCCCAAGGTTGCATGCCAGCAGATCCAAGACTGGAATCCAAGTCTTTCAGAATCTGGCCCAGCGATCTTCCCACTAAACCTTGATTTTGACTTGTGGGAGACTAGCTGGGCAATTTTGCATCAGTTATTTAACTTCTCTGAGTTCCAGTGTCCTTCCCTGTAAACGAGTCTAATAATTATCATCCCGATTCCCATCTCCCACGGTGGTTGTGAGGAATAAATGACCTAACACGTGAAAACACTTAACAATGACTGGTTATTATCTCCTCCTGGTCAGTCCCCGCCGGGCAGCCTGGCTCCTCCCTTCCCAGTCTATAATAATGGCAGGGTTGGCCACCTCCTGGCCAGGCCAGCTTGACCTCAGCCCAGGCGCCAGGCTGCCTTCACTGCCCCCAGTGAGATAAGGCGGCGGTGGGCAGACATTGGGACAGCGGGCAGCTACCCTGGGCCAACAGCCTAGCCCATTGGGCAGAGAGGAGCCGGTGCCAAGCCTCAAGTGCTGAGAACCTGGCAGAAACCTGGGGAAACCCAAGCCACATAAGGCTTGGGAAAGGTGCCGGGGTGGGAGATGAGCAGGTCTCGACTTCCACATAGGCCCCAGCAAGGCATTCCTCAACTCTGCCAGAGACCCTCAGCCAGTTTCAGTGCAGGCGAGCATCAGAAAGGCTTGTCCATCTTACAGTCTGCCCTCTTCTTGCCTGGCCCAGAGCACACTAACCTTGTGGCCTGACGGTTGCCACAGCCGACATAACTTTCCCTCTGCTCTGGGAAGAGGTAACTGAGTGACAGAGACGACAGAGGCTCCGGGGTGGGGGCAGGGGACGAGTCCTGCTCTATTTCACTTTGGAGAACTCCATCAATAATGCAAAGTCAAAGAGACTCCAAGTCTCAGGAGCCGGGCTCTGGGACAACTAACAGCCAATCAGATACATGGCCAACCCAGGGTATGAGCTCATGGCTCCGCCCCCCCATTCCTCCCCTCCTCCACTCCAGGGAATTGGTATTCTGGTGGCAGTTACCCAAGCCCATGACCTCTCTTGGCCCCGCAGTTGACGCAAGAGACTCTGGGGGCAAACAAGGCGCAGCAAGTGCAGACATTCAACCCTGGAAGGGTTGGGGGCTAGACGTGGAGCCACATCTCCTGGCTCCCAGAATCACCCCAGGACGCCCCAATCCTGGCTCTCTTCTTTGCTCCAATCTGGCAGGCAACTGCCAGCCTCCTCCCCCACCCTTCCCCCAGCCCTGGGAGTGACTCCATCACTAACAGCCCCTGGAAGCTGCTGCTAAGCCCCGAACAGTTCCTACAGTTCCCGTCTGTGGGGAGAGGGGCCCTGCTGGGGCTGAGGCCTTGCCAACGTCTCTCCCCTCCAGCGAAGTCTTGCCACCTCCCAGGTAAGACGGCGGCTTGGGCTGGCACCCCTTGTTACCTGGCTGACCCTGGAGGTCGCAGAATGTCCCACAGGCAGGAGTTGGAGCTGGGGCCCTGCTGCGCAAGACAGGGACAGGCCAGGCCCTCACATGGCTGCGGAGTCTCCCTGTTGCCACAGGAACGGCCGGGACTGAATGGCTCTTTCATGGGGCAGTGGGAGGCCAGCCGATTGGCTGGGATTCCCCCTACCCCTCCCTGCCCGGCGTGGGGCCCTTGCTGCTGGTTCCTTTCACGTTTGCCCAGAGCTGGCAAGTCCAGGCCTGTGGCTCCAGGCGGTGCCTCCCAGATGCCCGCCACCTTGCACAGTCCCTGCCCCTGCTCTTCCTTCATGCCACCCTTGCGCAGGTGCCCGCTCTTCCCTTCTCTCTTAGATTCCCCATCCCTCTGCTTGGTTTCCCCTCCTGGGCGGATGCCAGCATTCCTCCACACAGAGGCACTCAGCTTCCTGTCAGGACACCTGAGACAAGCAGCCAGCACCTGGCCAGCAGGTACTGCACACCTATGGACCAGACTCCAAGCCGGACTCTAGTGTTCAGGGCCATCCATACATCCTGCGTCTCTTGGGCGCTGTGGGCTCAGCGTCCAGGAAGAACTGAGCACGTGGGAGCTGGATGTCTCTCAGATAATGAAGTGCCTCAAACTTATGGACATCCCAATGAAAGAGGAAACTACTTTTTAATTAAAAAAAGAAGTTTCTACAATTAAAAAAGTAAATGTACAAAGAACTTAAAATAGAAGCCAGGTCAGGTGCCGATGGCTCATGCCTGTAATCCTAGCTACTCAGGAGGCTGAGATCTGAGGATCGTAGTTCAAAGCCAGCCTGGGCAAGAAAGTCCGTGAAACTCATCTCCAATAAACCACAAGAAAACCAGAAATGGCACTGTAGCTCAAGTGGTAGGATGCTAGCCTTGAGCTGAAGAGCTGAGGGACAGTGCTCAGGCCCAGAGTTCAAGCCCCAGGACCACCACCACCACCAACAACAACAAAAAATAGAACCTAGGTGCTGGGCGGCTCATACTTATAAACCTAGGGCATTGAGATCTGAGGGTTAACTGTTGAAGCCAGCCTAGGCAGGAAAGTCCATGAGATTCCTATTTACAATTAACCCCCTCACCCCCCCACAAAGAAAAGCCAGAAGTGGAACTGTGGCTCAAGTGGTAGAGTGCCAGCCTTGAGAAAAAAGCCAAGAGATAGCCCCTAGGCTCCGAGTTAAAAACACAAAACAAAATAAAAACTAACAAAACAACAAAACAAACTCCAAACCTTAAATAGTGGCTATTATGGGCGAGGGGTTTTGAAACAGTATCTTGCTATATAGACCAGGCAGGTCTTAAAAAGTTGATCCTTGTACCTTAGCCTGCCCAGGGTTAGGATTATAGGCATGAACAACTATGCACAACCACATCTGGCTAATAGCAAAACTTTCAAAGTAAGTTAAAAAATATTTCTGGCCTCAAATGAAGTGTTTAAGGTTCATATTTCTGATGGTATTAGAGGCTGGTGACATTAGTTAGGACTGGTGGTATGGCTCAAGTAGTAGAGTATTACTACTACTACTACTAATTCCAGTATAACACACACACACACACACACACACACACACACACACACACACACACACACACACACACTCACACAGAGTGCAGAGCTTAAAAGTGCACTAAGGCCAGGCACCAGTGGCTCACACCTGTCATCCTAGTTACTCAGGAGGCTGAGAGCTGAGGATCTAGGTTCAAAGCCAGCCTGGGCAGGAAGTCCGTGAGACTCTTATCTCCAAATAACCACCAGAGAACTGGAAGTGCAGCTGTGGCTCAAAGTGGTAGGGTGCTAGTCTTGAGTGAAAGAGCTCAGGGTCAGCTCCCAGGCTCTGAGTTCAAAGCCCACAACTGACAACAACAACAAAAATGCACTAAGACTTGGGACACAGTATATTAACTCACTTAAGTTTCCCAGTAGCTCTGAACTCTCAGCCATGGGTGCTCTTCTGATGCCCGCCGGCAGATAAGAAGAAGAGGTTCTTGAGAGTGACATAGACCTCCCTAAGTCTGGGATTTAGGGAGGGGACCTGCGCACTGTCCGCGCTGAAGCCAAGCCTCCCACTCCACGCTTTCCTGGACCCCTCTGAGGCTGGGGCCCAGTAGGGTAGGCAGGGGGCGGGGGTCATGGACCCATGGGATCGGGGAGTTCCTGGGAGCACACATTCCTGCAGGATGGGCCCTCTGGATTTTCCATTGCAGACGAATGAAAGGGAAGCCAGGTGCAACCTGAGCCGACGACAATGCAGATCAGCCTCACCGGGCTCTGGGAGGCCTCCGTTTCATAGGCTGTGCCAAACCCGTGTCCCCTGGCACTGGCCTCTACCTCTATACTCAGGGGGGCTTGGGCCCCAGCCTCCTTTTCTGGCTGTAGACCAGCCCCCCCACTTCCCCAGGTCCGACACTGGGTGAGTCAGGGGCCAAAAGGAGCCCTGTCCCCTGGGGGGCAGTCTAGCTCCTTGCGTCAGCCACTGTCATCAACCACTGTCATTTCCTGTGGCTCACGTGAAGGGCTCCCTAACCTGCCCGGCCAGGGGAGGGACTTGCTCCCCAAGAATCCCAGGCACTCCTGGCCCTGGGATGGGGGAGGGGGGGAGGCCTACATCCCAGCCACCTTCCCTCACCTCCCTGCCCAGATCTACTCAGCTTTCTGTGCTTAAGGACCACGAGCTGGGCTGTGGGCACACCCAGTCAGGGTGAAGTCCCTCCTACCCAGGTGCTCTGGGCAGGTGAGTGGGGAGTCAGTCTCAACAGGTGCTTGGGAACCACCACAGTGGTGACTTCAGAGCTTCCCAAAGCTGCTTGTTAACCACATCAGAATGTGCTGACCCAGGGGGCAGGGGAGACAGAGGGACCCTGGCTCCCTGAGCCTCCACTCTCTGACTCTTCCTTCTAACTGTGCCCATCCCCACTACACTGTCTGGGCACAAACACCCAACACTGGCAGGCATACAGAATGGGTGTGAAGGTGGGGGTGGGCACATTAGCCTTTGCTCTGGTCCCCGGAGTCCCCTCCCTGACCTGTCACTCTCTGTGAGGGGCTAAGTCCAGGAGCACCAGCTTAGTACACGATCGGCTTGTCTTCCTTGTTAGGGAGCATTAGAAGGAATTTGTGTCTGTCTCTCTCATTCCTAGTAGGCACCAGCATGTTGGTGTGTGTGTGTGTGTGTGTGTGTGTGTGTGTGTGTGTGTGTGTCCATGTGGCGGGGTGGGAGAGGAAGGAAGCAAGACAGAATGGAAGCTGGGTGTCAGTGGCTCACGCCTGTAATCCTAGCTACTCAGGAGGCTGAGATCTGAGGATCACGGTTCAAAGCCAGCCCAGGCAGGAAAGTTCATGAGACTCTTATCTCCAATTAACAACCAGAAAACCGGAAGTGGCTCTGTGGCTCAAGTAGTAGAGTGCTAGCCTTGGGCTGAAGAGCGCAAGGACAGTGCCCAGGCCCAGAGTTCAAGCCCCATGACTGGCCAAAAAAAAAAAAGAATGGAGAGGAAGGCAGGCATCCTGACTGGTGGAGAAGTGGGTGGGCATCTCTCTAGGTCTAAGAAAAAGGCAAGAAATGGATCTCCAGAAGTCCTTGTACCCCCTGATTCTCCTCTCCAGCCACTCTGCCCAGGCACTTTCCTGGGGACAGAGCTATCTCCCTCTCTCTCTCCCCTGGGGTGTTCCTCTGCTCCCACCTCTGGAGGAGCTTCAGACAGCACTCCCCAGGCCCAGCAGGTGGCCTCCCACATGCCCCCCCAGCCTTGCTCATGTCTGTCTACTCCACAGCCACCCCATGAAGTTCAGATACCAAAGGGGCAGCTACTGACCTGTATGGGGGCACCGGAGGGGACCTGGGGGCTTCCTCCCCAGCAGGGCAGGGACAGCAGTGGAGAGCCCAGAAACTGACTCGGGCTGGGTAATCCGGAGCTCAGGTTACTGCTCCGATATATTTAGTATCTTATCTGACCTCGCAGAGATGGCCACTCACTTGCATTCCAAGCCCTGGGAGACTTAAAGGGGCAGTGGCATGCCCACTCTCTGCTGGCTGATGTCTGCCAAGGAGAGCTACCAGGGCTCTTGGGAACCAACATTTTGAAGCAGAACAGTAGAGAGTCCAACTAGAAGCAGGACTGAAAGAGGGCAGAGGGCTGGCATGGAACTCGAGAGCAAAATACGGAGAAGATGGATTCTTTGGAGTTGGCAGAGTAAATCCAGCTCTTGGCATTTTGTGATAGAGGAGACCTAATTTCAGGGCTCATAGAGAGTTGGGACCAGCACCCAGGTTTTAGCTCACTGCCCTCCCTCTCTCCCTCCCTCCCTTCCTTTCTTCTCTTTTCTTCCTTCCTTCTCTTTTCTTTCTTTTTCTGCCAGTCCACTGACCCTGAGCTCTTTTGCTCAAGGCTAGCATTCTACCATCTGAACCACAGTGCTACTTCCAGGCTTTTCTGTGATTATTTGGAGATAAGAGTTTCGTGGACTTTCCTGCCCAGGCTGACTTTGAACCATGATTCTCAGATCTCAGCCCCCCCCCCCCCCCCCCCCCCCGAGTAACTAAGATTACAGGCGTGAACCACTGATGCCCTGTTCACTACTTTCTCATAATGGACTGAACTCAGGTCTAGTCCTAATGCTAGCTCTTTTTCTATTAGATCTCAGGCAATAAGCAAGTCAATTATACTGGCTGAACCTTAGTTATTTCAGCCGTCAATCAGGGAAATAAAAATATAACTATAACAACAATATAATATTAATATATAATAATACTTTATAGTTTTGAGGATGAAATAATATATGGAATAAGAGTTCAACAAATGGCAATCCTATTGAATACTTATTCGTACTAGAAGCAGAATTGGTAGTATCAGACAACCCTTTCTAGAGGAAAAGGGCTTCAGACTACTCCCTCAAAGAATGCCACCCTACATCCCCGTGGGTTTTTGAACTACTCGTGTTCCAAAAGGGAAAAGGAAGAGTAGTTATAATTTGTTATCTTCCTCTATATCTGGCCCACTAAGGCAAGACAGGCCAAGTCCTTTTGGGCTGCTTTTCCCCTTTACCTAGAAAAATATGGTGAAAGTAGCTTCCCCCAGGAGGCCAGCGGCATGCCTGGCCCCTGGGGGGAGGGGATGTAGTTCCACTCTACCTGTTGGAGGGCTCAGGATTCCCTGGTGGAGGGCTGGGCTTGGCAGGGCCACTAGAGGAAGGAGCAGGGTTCTTGGCCTCTCTAGCCTCTGTGCACCTGTCTGCTCCCAGGATGATCTTCCTGTTGTTCGATGGCTCTCCCTGAGGACTAGGAGGACCCAGGCTGGTGCCTCCACCCTGTCTCAGCACAGACGGCTGACTCAGCCTGGACCTGGTGATGCACTTGAGGACGCCCTCATTCCAGTCCTCATTCCTGTCCGGCGTTGCATTGAAGCATCCAAAGAGTCAGGGATGCCCCAACTCTGGCGCACCCACTGGCTCTCCAGTCAGGGGACGAGCCAGGGTTGGGGGGGCAGGGTTTCCCATGGCAAGTGGCTCTTGCCTGGAGCACCCACATCTACTTTCGCTGTAGGATTGGTGAGAATTTCAAAGTTGCCTCTTTCTGATTCGGGATTGGTGGAAAAATCTCTCCTTCCGCTTAACTGCTGTCTTCTCCCTAAGCCCCCTTCCCCCTTCGGCAAACTCGCCAGAGACAGGACCCCCGCGCCCCGACCCCCCCAGGCAGAGGCGAAGGGAGCCCCCCGCACGCGCGGGGAGGGGGCCGGGCCAGGCGTCGTCCTCCCGGCCGCGGACCGCACAGGGCACCGCGACCCGGGGCCGCCCGAGCAGCAGCTCCTGGGAACACAGCGATCCGCACACAGATGGCTCTTCCTGGCACCCCGGGCTGGCAGCTGGCAGCCCCCCTCGCACACTGGCGCCCACAGCTGGAGCGCCCCCGCGCAGCCGGCCCTCGCCCTATATTCCCGGCGCCCATCCTGCCCAGACCGTGGCTGACACTTCACTTTCGGAGCCGGCCCGACCCCCGCGTGCACAGCCCGGCCCTCCCCGCCCCCGCCCCCTCCCCGCTCGCCAGACCTCCGACAGGTGGTGGCACCGTACCTGCCTCTTCTCGGAGGATGGACGAGTCGAACCGGGCACAAGCATGGAGCTGCGGGTGAGTCCTGGCGGGTCCTGGCGCGGCGCAGCGAGCAGCAGCTGACGCAGAGGGCTCCCGGGCCTCGCTCCGCTCCTGCCCGCCTCTCCCCCGCCTCCGCCGGGGGCCCAGGAAGGACCTTCCCGGGAAATCGGCGCCACCCAGCGGGCAGCCGCCTCATTGCGCCCGGACCCGCAGAACCACGCCCCGCGTCTCGCATCACTGACACGCGATTGGCTTGTTCCGATTGTGACGTCACCGGAGCCCCGCCCGGCATGGGTCTCCCCGGCAACCGATATACACAGAGAACCACGTGGAGGGAATGCACGCCGCGGTGGAGTGGGTGGGGCGGGGAAAGCAGCCGCGGGGCGGGTGACCGGCCCGGGCCGCTGCCAGGTACGGAGACCGAGGCGGGCTCAGGCTTCTAGAAGGCCCGGGACGTGCGTCCCGAGGCGCATCGCACCGACTTTCAGATTTTGGGGCGCTTCTGCTCCTCAGCCTCTTTATCTCAAGGTGAAGGGCGCCCCGCTCACTGGCCACCCTTTGGACAAGAGGCTAGGCCATGCTTGCCAGCGTCGGTAAACCGAGGCACGGAGGCGTGGAAGGAGTGCTCTTGGACTCTCAGGAAGAGGCCGAAGCCAACCCGTGGAGATGATGCTGCTCCGCCCCACGCGCAGACCAGATGCGGGTGGTCCTCAGACCCACCCAGGGGTCAGCTTCCGTGGAAGCGGCCGGGAAGGAGCCTTGCAGGTGCCCTGGGCCACTCCTCCCAGTCCCCACCCCCACCTGTCCTACGGGTCTCCCCTCCCAAGCCCCTCTCCTCAGTTTCCCAAAGAAATCCGAGGCAAGCAGGAGCAGAATACCTACATTTCTACTTCCCAACGTATCAGGATCCGTCCTTGCCTCTGCCCAAGCGCCGTGAAGGATGTGTCTTGCTTGTCCAAGACCCTTCCTTTGGGGATCTCACCCTTTAGGATTTCTTGAGCCGACGTTCTATCACTTCATCTAACAAGAAGGGACTGAACCTGACAGACCCTCTTCTAAAAAGGGGACGGGGATGTCCAGCCCCTCCAGGAACTTACATTCTCCTAGAAGCAGCATGTCAACAAGAAGTAGAGAAGACAGCACATTAGAAGGCATTAAGAGCTGAGGAGGACAGCCAAACATGGAGGGTGATGTGGAGTAAGTATAGTCAGAGGCACCCTGGTGAGAAAGTGACATTGGAATGAGCTGAAGATGAGTGAGCCTTGTGCATATCAGCCCCCGGAGAATGTTCTAGACAGAGAGGAAGGTAATTTAGAAGGTCCTGAGGAGGGAACTTAAAGGCTGTGCTGGAGGGAGAATAAGGTTGGTGTGACTGAAGCAGTTAATAATACAGCTTGACCTGACTGCAGCCAATTTTTTTGTCAGGTGTGGGCCTTGAACTCAGGACCTCGGTACTGTCTCTGAGGCTCTGTGTGCTCAAGGCTAGTGCTCTACCACTTGAGCCACAGCACCACTTCCTGATTTTTTTTATGTTTTTAAAATTTATTTTATTGTAAAGATGCTGTACAGAGGGGTTACAGTTACATGAGTAAAGTAATGAGTACATTTCTTGTTGAGCATTGTTACTCCTTCCTTTATTGTTCTCCCACTATCCTTTCCCTCCACCACCTGACTTTTTTTTTTTTTTTTTGAGTGGTTAATTAGAGACAAGAGTCTTACAGGGAGTTTTCTGCCTGGGCTGGCTTTGAACTGAGATGCTTAGATCTCAGCCTCCTGAGTGGCTGGATTATAGGTGTGAGCCACTGGTGCCTGGCCACTGCAGCCATCTTTTTTTATTTTATTTTTTTTTGCCAGTCCTGGAGCTTGAACTCAGGACCTGGGTCTGTCCCTGAGCTTCTTTTGCTCAAGGCTAGTACTCTACCACGTGAGCCACAGTGCCACTTTCTGTTTTTTTCTGTTTATGTGGTACCGAGGAATTGAACCCAGGGCTTCATGCATGCTAGGAAAGCACTCTACCACTGAGCCACATTCCCACCCCATGCCAGCTTGAGTTGTAACCCCCACATATGCCCCCTGAGTCACTCTAGCTGATATTTCTTGCCCGGTTTCTCAGCAAACCATAAATAGAATAAAACTATTAGAGTCATTTGTAGAGCTTTATAATCAGACCCTGGCTTCAGGGAGACACTTGACTCTTTGATATTATTTCTTTCTTTTAAAACATTTATTAGCATATGTTAACTCTACAAAGAGTATGATGAAAAGATAAACCAGGGTTATTCCAGCCAGAATGAAGTCATTGCTGTCTTAATCCATAAATATATCTCCATTCTGGACTTAAATTGCTGGGCTCTACCTGGTCTTTTTGCTGCTTCTGTCAGTAAGTCCCCTAATAAATTGTACAATGTATATTTCCATATCTGCTGGCTTTTCTTTAGTCTCTCTGTACCTTGGGCCAGTCTCTCACACTGCATGGAGTTGATCTGGGATAAGCAAAGGGATGGGGCAGGGAGAGAACAAGAGATAAGTGAGGGGGCTGGGAAGGTGGCTCAGTGGTAGAGCGCTTGCCTTCCATGCATGAGGCCCTGGGTTCGATTCCTCAGCACCACATAAGCAAAAAGAAAAAAGCCGGAAGTGGCTCTGTGGCTCAAGTGGTAGAGCGCTCGCCTTGAGCTGAAGAGCTGAGGGACAGCGCCCAGGCCCAGAGTTCAGGCCCCACGACCGGACTCAAAAAAAAAAAAAAAAAAAAGAGATAAGTGAGGGATGTGTCTGTAGGGCCCTGAAGTCATTCTTCTGACACTGGCTTTTACTCTGGCTTGGAAGGTTTTGAGCTGAGTGGGATGTGGACCTGATGTTTGTTTCTAACCAGATCCTTTTAGGTACATTGTGGAGAACAGATCTGAACAGAGCCAGAGGCCACTGACACTTATCTGGGGAAAAACGGTGGTGGCCTTGGGTTATTGGGATACCAGGAGAGGCAATCAGATGTGGTTGGGTTCTAAAAGCAAGAGGATGTAGTTCAGTAGTAGAGTATTTGTCTAGCTTGTGATAGGCCCTGGGTTTAATCCCTAATATTGCAAAAATAAAAGTGGGGAAGGGATTGTATTTTGTATGTGTTTTGAATCAAGAGTCGCAGGGTTTTCTTATGCATCATTGTATGAGAGGAAAGGAGGAAGTTTCTTCCTGAACCTTAACTGAGGAGAGGCAAGCCATGGAAGAAGCGAGTTTTGGCGGTGGTAGTGGTGGTGGTAGATCAGGAGTCTGGTTGAATACATCATAAATTTGAGATGTCTGTTAGGCACTTAATTAGATACCAAGAAAGCAGTTGATGTTCAAGTCTGGGCTGAGATACAAAATTGAATCATCAGCATATGGATGCTATTTAAAACTATAAGAGATTGCCAAGGGAGCAAGTATAGACAGAGAGATGGGTGAGGCCTCGATCAGAGAGCTTTCTAAGATGAAGTGGCTTGGACTGGCACCATCTGGGAAACTGAGGAATGGCCAGTGTAGTGGGGAAGAGTCCCAGGAGGTGCTATGTGCTGGATGCTGGTGGGAGGGAGTTCACCAAGGAGGAGAGGTCAAGGAACATGAGTTTGAAAATTGATTTCAAGGGTTGGCGACCTCGATCTCTACTTGGGGTAGACTGGGGTGAAAGCCTGATTGTGGATGAGTTCATGGAAGAACAGGAGGAGAGGGATGGAAATGGCTGAGACAACCATATTTGTTTTTGGTTCTGGTACTGGGCTTGAACTCAGGATGCTCAGAGTGCTCTCAGTTGCATGGATTTTTCTGCCTGGGCTAGATTCACAGGTCTCAGCCTCCTGAATAACCAGGATTACAGCTATGAGTCACTAGTGCTAGGCTTTTTTTTTTTTTTTTTTGAGACACCATCTTATTGTGTGGTCCGGGCACCGGACTATCTATTTTTTTTTTGCTTATGTGGTGCTGAGGAATCGAACCCAGGGCCTCATGCATACAAGGCAAGTGCTCTACCACTGAGCCACCTTCCCAGCCCACACCATCTTGCTATGTAGTACAGCGTGGTTTCAAACTCTTCAATCTCTTACCTGAGCTTTCTGAGTGATTATAGGTATGTACCACCATATTGTCACCATGACAGTCTTTAAGTGAAGGTCCATCTCTCTCTTCTTCACGGTTCTGTTGGCAGAACCGTGTGCTCTATTTTTCTCCTTCCCAGTCCATGCAACATCTACATGTCTTCTGTCTCTCAGACTTCAGGAAACTTCTCTTCCACAGCTGTGATTGATCCCCTAGCTGCTAAATCCAATGGACACTTGTTAATTATAAGCAATGTTTTGATCTCCTGTCTTTTTCTCCTCTGCTCCTGTAGGGGGCATGGAAGTTCTGTGTTCCTTCATTCTTTTTATGTGTCACCCAGGAATCTCAACCTAGCAGATGCTTAGGTAGAGATGAGGAAAGAGGAGAAGGGGAAGGACATCAGTGGGGAGCTGTGCCACACCCAGAGACCGAAGGGTCTGTGATCCCTTTCCTTCCAGTCTACTGGGACCCTGCCTAGACGGCTAGCACATAGATCTTGGGAGATGCTGAGCTACTGGTGCTCTGGGCATGTGGGTGGTTTGCTAGGTGAAAGGCAATACCCAGCCCTGTGGATGGGGTATCTGTGTTCTTCTGAAGGAAGTAGAAGAAGGAAATGGAGAAGAGGGGTAGCTGGCTGTGAGTGGCTCATGCTCATAATCCTAGTTACTCAGGACGCTGAGACCTGAGGACTGTGGTTCAAAACCAGCCCAGGCAGAAACATCCATGAGACTCTGACCTCCAATTAACCACCAGAAAAAAGTCGAAAGTGGCACTGTAGTAGAGTGCTAGCTGTAAGAAAAAAAAAATGCTGCTCAGGGAGAGTGCCCAGACTCTGAGTTCAAGCCCTAGGACTGGCAAGAAAAAAAGAAAGAAAAAAGAATCAGATGGATGACAGGCCTTTGACTATCCATGAAGAGAAGCCTCACCTTCTCTGGGCAGCAGGACACCATACCTGGTCTTGGTGGTGTCAGAGGGCAAAGCATTCCTGGGCTGAAGTTACCCTCACCTGGGTGGATGGACTGAGAGGTTTCCAGAACCTGTGTGTTCTGACTCCCCTTCCCGAATTCAGACACATCAAGTGTATTTGTTCAGACAGTTCATGCCTGTGATCTAGTCCAC